TGACCCCACTGAATGAGTATTTGAGTACATTCTGGAGCTTTGTGCTCATAAGGCCATAGACTTCAAGCTTAAAGCAACCTCAGCGGTTACCTTGGCAGAGCATCATAAAATTTCAAAGTTAGATAGACCTCAGAGATGATCTAATCCAAGTCCCTCATTTTTCAGAAGAGGAAACTGAGGCCCAAGGAGTCTAAATGACATGCCCAGGGTCACATCAGCATTAAGCAAGAGGTGAGATTGCACTAGGAGGATTCAATAAATACACAGACAAATACATACAATGTCATTTGGAATGCACATAGACTGTAAAGTAAAGCAAAAATAAAAACTAAATTCTGAAAGGGTCCAATGTGGCTGTTGGACCAAAGGTAGATGTTCATTAGTTTCCCCAAAAGGAGCAGAACTGATCCCAGAATCACACAACCCCAGAAATGGAAGGTGACTCACAGGTCATCTAGTTCAACCTGTATTAGAACAGGGATAAGCACAGAAAGCTATCAAGCTTTGGGTTTTGTCTCAGCAAAGAGGTAAATACCAGAGCCATAACTAGGGTGTGGTAATCAGAACTTGGCCTCAGAGCACTGAAATTTAGAGGGCTCAAAAAAACATATACCAGCTGGAAAACTTGCCTTGCCCTAAACCTTCTCTGGTATCAACCTCTCCAGAAATGGCCAAACATTCCCAGAATCTCCTCACATCTTACCAGTGTCCCAAGGTCTCTGTCTACTCACTACATGGTGGTATTGAAGTCTTACACTGCCCTCATCCCCACCCCCTCCAATGGATTTTAGTGCTTTTTACCAGGCACTAAAATTGGCAGTTACAGCTCCAATGACTTCTCTTCTCCAGCTTCTTCCTAAGACAGCATTCTATTCTCACTCCATGTACAAGAGCTAAAAATGGTATCATATGAAAGAACCAAGATGCCAGGAAATTAAAGAGCTGGTGACATCAACCCCCAGCACTGCCGATCATCTGCAAATGTATAGAATGTTAACTCTTGGAAATAATCCTAAAACTATGCCAAATAATATAAACTACGACAGCCAACATCTAAGTGCTTTGAAATGCATTCAAACAAATGAAGACATTTTAAGCTGAAATATTTAGAAAGTTGAAACCTACTTAAAAGAAGCTATTTTTCTAAAACACGTCTGTTTAATAGATACTCCCAGACTATGAGGGACCCTGAGTCTTGATGACCCAGACATCATTTGTAAAATGCCTAGCTTATAGGTTTCACAGTATCATTCATTTATAACTGGAAAGTACCTTAGCTGGCATTCTATATTGATAAAAATAACAATAGTTAACACTACTATAACATATTAAGGTCTACAAATATTTCATGTGATCCACACAAAAACCCTGGGAGGTAGGGTGCTATTTTTATCCCCATCTTACAGATGACGAAACTAAGTTAGATAATTGCTGAGTGACTTGGTTAGGGGTCATACAGCTAATAGGTACAACTGGATTTGAATTCAAGTCTTCCCAACTCTAGGTCCATCACTTTACTGTGTAACCTAGCTGCCTCTGACAATATCAACAACCAATTAATCAATCCACAGGTATTGATTAAGTGCCTGCTATATGTGCTAGATATTGGTAATACAAAGATTGAAATCATCCCTGTTGACAATGAGCTGTGTTTCTAAAGGGAATAAGTATTGAAAATAATTCATCTGGAAGTTTTCAAAGCCCTTATAAACTCATTGAGCCTGTGAGTCAGAGATTGCTATTATCCCCATTTTACAGATGAAGAAAGGAAGGCTCTGAGAGATTTAACCCTCCTCATTTTACATACAAGGAAGCCGTGGCCCAAAAAAGTCAAATGCCTTGCTCAGGGAAATAACAATCATTCATTTTCAATAGTGCTCTACAATTCTCAAAGCCCTTTGCTTGCATTACTTCATTAGTACCGCAAAACAATTCTGTGAGGTAGATACTATAGCGGTTCTTATCACCTCCATTATACAGATGAGCAGACAGAGGCTCAGAGCTATTAATTGACTCACAGTGGCACACGGCCAAGCTTCAGAGAACGGAACTGAGGGCCTCCTAAATTGTTCTGCCTCTCTCCCATCTACAATCCCTCCTCAGCACAGCTGACAAATTCACTTTTCTCAAGCAGAGATCTGACCACACAACTCACATAACCTTATTACCTCCAAGATCAGATAAGAACACCTCCATTTGGCATCTAAGCAGCCTTCACAGCCGTATCCCAGCATTCCTGGTCCTCTTGCTGCTCTCCCCAATGGCACTCCTCTCTCCATGCCTTTTCACTGGCTGTCCTTCCTGTCTGGAATGTTCTGTCTCTACCTTTGCCTCTTAGAATCTCTGGTACCACCTCCCATATGAGACCTTTCCTGATTCCTCCCCCCAAAACTACCTTGCCTTTATTTTGCATTAATCTGAGATATACTCATTGTGTGCATGATGGTTTCCCAAAATAAAATGGCAGCTTTTCAAGAATAGAAACTATTTTACTTTTGTCTCTGTAGCACCTAGCAGTGACTGACCCACAGTAGGCATTTAATAAATTCTGGGGATGTTTTTTTTTCATCTATTGTCTGAGTCCTGATCCCAAGTCTAGCATTCTATCCATTGTGCCACCCTGAAGACCCAAGACTTGAACCCACATCCTCTGACTTCAAATGCAGCACTCTTTCCACTGCACCACCCTCCAAGAGCATTTGCAGAACTAGAATATGCTGCACAAACATGGTATGTTACCGCTGTATTGTCATTTCAGTACCGTATGTTCCCTTAACATGTGTACTGGTTGATTGGGTTAAAATGTTCCTTGGCGATGAAATCTCCTTTTTTTATTCTCACTTTTCATCCTCAGAATGGTATTTCTGTTTCACCAACAAATACCTTATGCAAACAGTGTGGCAATGGACAGCCTGGAGAGCCTTCCCTCAGCGTTAGTCAATTTCAGGGAAGTAAAGTCGTGAGCATCAATGGGTTGGACCATCCCACCCTCTCAAAGGCTTGTGGGGAAAAGTCTCTTTGATGTGTTATTCTTGAAACAGCCAAAAGCGAAGCCTGAACGTTATGTCCTATGCCACTCCTCCATCACAAAGACACAAACAATCTGGAAATCCCCAGGACCCATATTATTTCTCCTTTTGTTAATGGTATTACCTACCCACAGGCATGCAATGAAGGTTTAGCTTTGGTCTCAGAGAGCTCTCACGCATCAGCAGGACTTCCAGGAATGTTGTCTCTGAGTCACTTCTAAGTCCTGCCAACCTTTTCATTGAATGTGCCACCAGTGGTGAAGAAAGGGAGTTGGTAGTTACCAGGCTCTAGAAAAAAGCTAAGTAGTAGCCCACCAGGTGAGGAAAGGATAGAAAATAAATTCTCTTTGCAGCCTTCAGCTAGGGGAATATGCTTAAAATTGGCCAAATTCAACCAAAAGCTGAAAGCTATGTGAGTATCACAGCCCCAGGCACTGCTAGAGTCATTCTGTGGCTCTGTCAGGAGCTGAGATTGGCCATTTTAATTGTTTGATCAATCAGTCAGTGACTATTTCTTAAGTACTTATTGCCAGGGAATATTCTTGGGGGATGCAAAGCAGAAATGAAATAGACCCTGCCCTCAAGGAGTTTACAGTCTAGTGTGAGTTAGAACATTTGGTCCAACATATGTAAGAGGGTCAGGGACCTTTACTATGGCAGCAAGAATTTCGGGCAGAGATCAGCAGTTATGCACCTGTGTCTCCAGTATTTCCAATGCTTTTAGGGAGAAATGAATGGCTAGGCACTGGTTACCAAGGGCAGGAGAATGAAGGAAATGGGAAGACAAAAGGTCATGAGTGTTGATCTGTGGCCTCTGACAGACTCATTGGCAATGTGTATGTATGCTATTCCATTGTGTTTAAGGCTTCAGCCAAAGGCTCACCCGAACAAGTGTTGGAATTCTATGGCCAAATTTGTTTTACTTGACTATCCATGTTTGTAACCAGGCTTTCATTTTGTTTTTCTTGCTTTCTTAACCCCTGGGGTGAGGGGGCAGAGGTTGGAAGAAGAGAACGAAGATTTGCAGATAAAATAAAATGTAATAAAAAGAAAAGAATTTTATGACCACATCTCAGTTAATCAATCAACAAACGCTTATTAAGTGCCTACTATGCGATGAGGGCTAGGGATATGAAAAGAGACAAAAAGACAGTCCCAGCTCTTACAAAGCTCACAGTCTAAAAGAGGTCTGTAACGGCAAGGAGTAAAGTGAGTAAATTTTTCTAGGTTAAAATGAGTTTCCCACAGCTTCTTCCTCCCTGCCAAAGTTTGCAGATGCAAAGAGCTTCTCTGAGGGGCAATAAACATGGCATAATGGAAAGAACATTGGACTAGAGGGACCAGGAATCCTTTGCCCTTTACTAACTATATGACTTTGGCCAAGTCACTTACTGTCTTGTCCTCAGATTCTGATCTGTATTACCTTACACTTAAAACTCTTCCTGACTGCTCCCCCAGCTACTGGTGCCTCCCCACCTAAAATCAATCAATGGAGGAGCATTTATTTTGTGCCTATGGCATGGTAGGCATCCTCCAACTAACCTTGTGTTTATCATGTATATCATTTGTGTTTGTTTACATGATAATTTAGATGCCAGTCTTTCTCAAAAGAATGCAAACTTCTTGAGGGCAGGCATTGTTTCATTTTTGTCATTGTGTCCACAATGCCTAGCCCAGTGCCTAAAACATGGTAGACATTTATTGATCTATGCTGATTGATTGACTGGTTGATATGTTGAAATGTTTCGGGGCAGAGGACAGAGGTTGGATTGCATGAGAGCTGCATGTTCTCCACTCCTGTGCTTGTGTCTCTGAATCCCAAGGATATCATCTGTTGTCAATCAAACATACACATTTGTTAAGCATCCACCATCTAATCAACAAGCATTTATTAGGCATCTACTACATGGCAAGTATAATGCTAAGCACTAGGGATACAAAGACAAAAATTAAAGCAATCTCAGCCTTCAGGGAGTTTACATTCTATTGGGGAAATAACATGTAAACATATTTTATCAGTATACAAAATAGATACAAAGTAACTATAAGGCAATTTGCAAAAGGGGGCCACCAGGAGCTTAGAGAGATGAGGAAAGGCTTCCTTATAGGAATCAGCCATTGAGAGGAGCTTTGATGGAAGCTAAGGAGTCCAACAGGAGGTGGAGAAGGAGAGGCTTTCAAACATGTGGGACAGCTTTCAGTTCAGCAAAGACAGAGAAGGAGTTCTGTCTTTGATTCTTCTCTGCCGCAGCAATTATGATGTGATGGGCTGAAGGGCACAGAAACTACATTAAAAAATAGTTCATCGCAGACGTGCATGTCCGCTTCTCAGCTTTCAAGGATTGAGCACAAGTTTATCATCGGTCCTATGCAGACACATTTTGACTGTCTGCCTCTCTTCTCCCCATGCATCTCACCGTTTCTTCACCGCCTGGGTCTTCATCACTAAGATCGAGTGTGCCAAGGATATCTACAGACTTGGATGTAATGAGTACCAGGTTTTCCCTCATGTTGTTTCAGGGTCCCACTTGGCTCATGTCAAACACCTCCTGTGCGCTATGGGCCTGAGAACCTGTTCGTTCCCTTTTGCCTTGATTGTTGGCTCAGAGAGCCAGTGGGTGGGTGTTTAAGAACTCTTCATGTGCTAAACTTTCAGTCAAGCCCTTAATATTTACCACATGCTCTCCAAGCCCTCTAAGAAGGAGCTTCACTCCACCAAGCATGACGTGGATAAAATAACCGATCTGTTTCTCTTCAGATGGCCTTATATATTTGCGGGGAATCTTTTCACTCTTCCCACCAAGGGCTTTAAAAATAGAAAACAATGGGTCTGATTCTGCTGGGAGAAAGAAGTATAAAGAGATCACATTTTGGATTGGAAGGAACTCTTTGGTGTGGACTTCATTTCAAGTCAAAGCAGCTGGGTTTGAATCCTGGCTCTGTTAGTTACTGTGTGATAATGAAGACGAAAATAATAACAATAACTATAGCTGGCATTTACAAGGCAATTGAAGGTTGACAAAGTGCTTTACATGCATTATCTCATCTGAGCTGCAAAACACTGTGTGAGGTAGGTGATATTATTATCCCCATTTTACAGAGGAGAAAACTGAGACTGAGAAAGATTAACTGACTTGCCTAGGGTCACACAGCTAGTAAGTCTCTAGGGCAGGATTTGAACTCAGGTCTTCCCGATTCTAAGTATAACAGTCCATCCACTGTACTACCTAGCTGCAAATTAAAGAGGTTGAATTAGATGACCCCTAAGTTTCCTCCCAGTGCTAAAGCTGTGATCCTATGATGTCCAAACTATTTCAGGGCTATTTATTATCCTGGAAGTGTGGCCAAGGAGAGTCACAGCTACTCGGTAAGAGAGGATGATGCTCTTTGCTGGGGAAAGAGCCCTTGATTTAGGGGGAAAGAGCCCTTGATTTAGGGGGAGAAGACCTGGGTTCAAATCCCAGCTCAGTTACTGACTACCTATGTGACTACAAACAAGTCCCTTAGTCTCTCTGGGCCTCAGTGTCCTCATCTGTAAAATGAGCAAAGCTCCTTCCAATTCTAAATCAGTGAGCTATATCTCCACTTGACTTCCCTGGATCTCACTTTCTTAGTGTGTAAAATGACTAGAATGCCACAAAGTTCTAGGTCTATGCCCTATAATCCCATGATCCAAGAAGGAAACCTTTTTAACCAGCCTATTGCAAGCTAGGTGTGCACACATCACCTTGACCTTTTCTTCCTGCCATGTTGGCTTTCCTCTGCCACTGAGGAGACTGGCATTGTGTGCTCAGAGAATCCAATCAACTAACAGCATCATCATCAACAATGACAACAATAATAGTAGCTGATTCAGAGCAGTATAAGGTTTGCAAAGTGCTTTATATGCATCTTCATCTGAGCCTCAAAATATGTGTGAGCTATTATTATTACCATTGCATAGATGAGGAAACTGAGGCTTTGAAAAGTGCTTACTTGTCCATGGTCATAGGTTACGTGTGTCAAAGATGGAGTTTCAAACCCAGATTCCTCCTGACTCCAAATCTAGCACTCACAGGATCATAAAAGGGACCTGAGAGAACCTACAAGGCCAACACCTTCACTAAATACATAGAGAAACTGAGGCCCACCGAAGTTCAATGATCCATCCAAGGTGACGTAGTCAGTAGAAGGCAGAATCTGGATCCTGACAATATTTGGTTAGGTTCAGAAGAGGATGCTCTAGGCAAAGAGTATCCCAGTTCCTCATCACCAACAGCCTATTAGACATCTCCAAGTGGACGTCCCCCAGGCTTTTCAAAATCAATAACTCATTATCTTTCTTATTCCTCTCCCCATACTCACTCATCTTCCTAACTTCCCTATGTCTGTTGTGGACACCATCATTCTGCAGTCACCTAAGTTTGAAATCTCAAAGTCACCTGTACATGTTGTTATCTTCAATAGGATATAAGCCAGGTCATTAGAATAGGTACTATTTGGGGATTTTTTTGTCTTTATATGCCTGGCAGTTCATACAGTGACTGGAATATAGTAGGCACTTAATAGATGCTTGTGATTGATTGACCCTCCGTTCTTTGCTCACTCTCACCCTTAAATCCCCATATTTAATTAGCTGCCAGCCCAATCAGAATTTATCTTCCATATCTTTTTCTGTGTTTTTCTCCCCCTCCCCCTTTTTTCCACTCACTTGTCTTCTACTCTGGTTGAAGTCATCAGCACCTCTTGACTGGATATTTCAATAAGCTCCTAATTGATCTCCCAGCAATCTCATTTCTCCCCTTCATTCACTTTATATTCTAGGGAAACTGTCCTACTAGGCATGACAGTTCATCTCCATCTCTATTTTCTTTGCTTTTCCACAGGCTGACTCTCACCCCCCATGCTTAGAATGAACCTCACCCTCCCCTTCACTTCTTAGAGTCCTTAGATTTCTTCAAGGTTCGGTTCACATGCCACCTTCTAAATGAGGTCTTTATTGTCTCCATTCCCTCCCCAATTATTAATGCTTCTTTCAAAAATTACTTTGTATTTTGACTGTATATACTTTTTAATGACAACAGTGTATATGTCTTCTTCAGCCCCGTCTCCATTCCCCTACATTGGCCCTCCACCCCAGTAGTTTTAAGGGACAGCTTTGTGAAGAAGAAAGAAGGCTGGATTTGGAGTCAGAAAACCTAGGTTCAGAGCCTAGCATGGGAACGTCACTGTACCTCTCTGCCTCAGTTTCACCATCTGTAAAATGTGAGGGTTAGACTAGATGAATGCTAAGATCCCTTCCTGCTTAATATCTACATTCTTCAAGTGCAAGGACTATTTCATTTTGGCCTTTGTATCCCCAGTGCCTACCACAGTGCCTTACATAATAAATGACCATTGAATTAACACCATAAATACTTTTATTAGCTCATTTTGCACATTTACTTATTTAGTACACATTAGCCCCACATCTTCATCCCAAGATTTCATTCAATAAATCAAAAAGTATTTATTAAGCACTCGCTATGTGCCAGGTGGGTATTATGTTGGGCACTAGAGATACAAGTACCAAGAATTAATTCAAAAGGAGTTGATGTTCTAAGGGAGGAGGCATCAACTATGTATAAAACTATATATAGCTTACATATAAAGTGATACAGCCATATACAAAGTAATTAAATACTGGGTGGCTTGGGAGAGAAGGTACTAGGAGTGGGAAGGAGGAGGGAAATCAGGAAAGGCTTCCTGCCAAAGGTGGTGCCTGGGCTCCATCTTAAAGGAAGAGAGAAACCATTTTGTTTTGTCTTTACTTGGCATGTAGTAGGCGCTTAATAAATTTGTTGAATTTGATTGAAATGTTTTTTGCATTATCTGCTGTTTTGAATTATTCTTGCATTTCTCTTGTATTACTCACCGTCCTAATCAAGTGTTGTATACAGTACAATATACCAACAATAGTTCTGGAGAATCTGAAAAAGGAAAGAAAAAAACAATCACTCCTATATGCAATGATTAAGATAACTGGAAAGGAGGGGTTTAGCATGAAGAAGAGAGGGGTAAATGATGATTCAGTTACTGTTTTTAAATCTATTCTAATCCTTAGAAATGAAGGGTTTTTTACTTTCCCAATTTATTCAAATCTCCCTGTTTCCAAAGTCAGTTAAATGATCCATTTAGTCATAGAATCATGACTCTAACAGCACACAAATGATCCAAACTGAATTCCTTTGATTCACACACTTGTTTTTCATATTTCTGAAGTAACTTTTCTCTAAAGAATACATCATGAATCACTGAAGATTTATTTAAGAGAAACAAGTGTAAAGAATTTTATTTGTCCTTTTTGTACCTAAAGTCACTCTTGCAAGTCTGAATGCATCATTCTTGCCATTTACAAGAAGAAATTCATATTGACCGAAGGATTAATTTCAATAGGAAACAAGTCCAGACTTTTTGTGTCAACATTTCTGAGAACCTCCCATGGAAGCTGTATTTCTAAGGAGCTGTGATAAAGCTCTGATTACTACTGAAGACAGGGAAGTTGCAACGGGCAGGTCCAGTTTTTGCTTACAAATAGCAGTGCGGAAAGTGTGAGTGATGTGTTAGTGTTGGAACAATGGACACACACTAAACATCTGAATTTCCTCAGCTGGATCCAAAGCAATCACTCACATTTTAGCTGAAAGATATTGAGTGAAGACAGATGAACCAAAATGTGCAGAGGAGGTAGGGCTTTTTACATTTTATTTTTATTTTTTAAAGACATAGAGGAAAGCTATTGTCTCAGGATATTTGGAGAATTTTCTGACATCAGTGGAGCAATTCATTGTAACTTAATGCCAACACCTAACTATTCAGAAATTTCTAGGCAGAATGCTTGTGATCTATTCATTGCATTACTCAATAAACTCCAATAACTCCCCATTACCTCTAGAGTCAAATACAAACTCTTCTGTTAATCATTCGAAGCACTTCCAACCTACTTTTCCAGATTTTACTGCCTTCAGATTCTCTACCATTTGTTTCCAAATCAAAACAACTGAGGTTTCACCCAGCAGCTGGGGGGCAACTAGGAGACATGATGAATAGAAATCTCAACTTGGAGTCAGAAAGATCTGAGCTCAAATGTGACCTCAAATCTACCTTAACTTAACTCAAATCTACCAAATAACTAGCTGTGTGACTCAGGACTACTCACACAACTGATGTCTACCTCAGTTTCTTCAACTGCAAAATGGGGATCAAAATGGTACCTATCTCCCAGCATTGCAATGAGCATCAAATGAGATCATATTTGTAAAGCACTTAGCCCAGCATCTGCCACATAGCACACACAGTATAAATGCTGGATATTATTGAACAAATTGGCAAAATGATAAAAGTTGGAAACATTCCATGTGAAAATATAGATACATCAATATAGTTTCATTAGAACTATGAATTGTCCAATGATTCTTGAAAGTAATTTGGAATTATGCTAATTTCAGTACTCTATCAGCCAGAAATACCATTACTTGGCATTTACCCCAAGGAAGTAAAAGACAGGTTCAATAATAATAATATTTGAAGGAGCAGCTAGGTGGTGCAGTGGATAGAGCTCCTGCCTTGGAGTCAGGAGAACCTCAGTTCAAATCCAGTCTCAGACACATGACACTTACTAGCTGTGTGACCCTGGGCAAGTCACTTAACCCCAACTGCCTCACCAAAAAAAGCAAAGGAAAAAAAGATTAAACATAGTATCAAATAATAATAATAATAATCTTTGTAGCAGCAATTTCTGTAGCACCAAAGAAATGTAAACAAAGTAGGTACCCATTGATTGGAGAATGATTGAACTAACTGTGGTACATGAATGTAATGGAACATTATTGTCCTGTAAAAAAAAAAAATGAATATAGAGAATACAGAGGTACATGGAAAAACCTATATGAACTGATACAAAATAAGATAAACAGAACTGATATACACAACACCCTTCAAAATGAATGAAGGGAGGGGCAGCTAGGTGGCACAGTGGATAGAGCTCTGGCCTTGGAGTCAGGAGGATCTGAGTTCAAATGCAGCTTCAGATACTTGACACTTACTAGCTGTGTGACCTTGGGCAAGCCTCACCAAAAAAACCCCAAAACAAAATGAAGGGATATTATAAAGACCATACTTGCCCCCAAAGAAGAAATGTAAGGGTTCACCTTCCTTCTTTCTTTACAGAGATGTGTGACTATGGAGGTGAAATGTTGTGTGTAATGTCAGATTTAGTTGATGAGTATGTTACTTTTACTGAACTGCCTTTTTTTTTCACTGTTTATATTTTTGTTGCAAGAGATATGAAATGAAGAGAAATCAAATAGGAAATGTAAGTGAGGTAAAAAAAACAATTTTCTTTAAAAATGAAAGTTCATATTTTGATGTTTGAATGAATGAATGAATGATAAAGCATTTATTCTTTAAGTGATAAATTTATTCATTATTAAGTATAAGCAAGGCCCAGTGCTAAGCTCTGGGGATACATATACCAAAAAGAGACAGTCTCTGCCCTAGAGGAACATCCATACTAGTAAGGGGAATGGTGGCCAGGGAAGTCACAAGGATGGTGGGTGGAACCACAAGGCTAACTATTGATACACCCTTTGTGGATTTTTGCTGCTGTTCCCAGAACAAATGTTGGAAATGGGGTGGGATAGGGGGAAACAAACACAGCAATTAGATGCCAGCAAGCCACGGTCAGACAGACCAGATAGAAGGAGCAATTATTGTCACAGACCCAACCCAACATGCCCCAGCTATGTTCGAGGCACTACACAGATTCCGGGGGCTACAGAACCAAAATGAAAAAGTATCCCTGACTTCAAGAAACTGATGTTTTATTGTTTTAAAGATAACACAGTCATATCTGGGATTTACATAGTATTTTATAGCTACAAAAATTTATTTTGTTGCGCTTTTAACATTTTAATAATGGTCTTTTTTCATACCACCCTTGTTTCATGCCCTCTTCATACCTTCTGTCTTTTCAACCATAAACTGAATTTAAGGTTGTCCCTTTACACCTCCCCAGCTCTTGCTTCCTATAATCTGCTGTGTTCCTGTCCTTGGCATGGCAATCTGACTCAAAATAATTACGTTTCTGACTTCTCTCACTATTTTCTATTTTGGAATCAATCAAGATCCTGGTCTCTGTGCTTCCAATCCCAACCTAGTCACCCCACCCTGATTTCTTATGGTTCCCACCCAGGGTGGTTTGCTTTGGACATTCCAAACCTTAAAAAGTACCTTCCCTCCTCTCCACCAATAATTCACTCAGTCACAGCAGCTCAGAAGCAAGGCCTTTCCCCTGACAAAGTAAACTGAGTGAATCTTTGGAGTTTCAACTGTTAGTGTTGGCCTTATGTCACCAAGAGCCAAAGCAAATTGGACAAATACTTGGACCAAATATGTGGCATTGAACTGCCACAAGCCAAAGTCTCTTTTAGACCCTACCTCATTGGTACATATTGTCACTAACCTTTTCGTATGGTCACTGTATCTCCAAGACTGCTTCCATATTGTCAGGGCAGCATCCAGCATCTCTCCAGTTTTGTTTCTCTTACATGAAATAGAAGGGCTCATAATTGGAATGGAACCAGTTCACCAGGACCTACGTGGGACACAGAAGGTTGAAGGGTAGGATTGCCTCTTCAAGGACGTGTTATTTTTTGCTCATTATCTCATCCCTTAGGATAAGTCAATTAGACATAAAGCTCTCATAACCCGTTAAGGTTCTGTCCTGTTTTCTTAGTTCATCATCGAATAGGGTCTTACCATCTTTATCTTTGGCCTCCAAGATTTGACATAAACCCAACCTTGTTTTCCCCAACAGTAGACTTCAACAAGAGTTGATCAACAGACAATTGGTCAATAGACAACAGGCTAAAACTTTACGAAGTTAAACTAAAAACACGGTAATTTCATATCGATCAAAAGGGAGGCATCATTCCCTCCCCATCGCTCCTCAAATCTGTTTGCACAAAACCTGCCGGTGGCTAGACCTCCAACGACAGAGAAGCTGCCGCCACTGGAGGCGGTCCACTCCAATTTTAGAGAGCTCTAATTGTTAGGAAGATTTCCCTGATATCAAGCCAAACTTAGCCTTTTTTGCAACATCCACTTATTTTGCCTTCTAGGGACAAACACAATAAACCTAGCCCCTCTTCCATATACTGGAAAATAGCTATCATGCCTGTCCACCTAGTCTTCTCCAGGCTATATATGCTTCCTTTAGCTAACTCTCATGTGACACAGACTCAAGGCCCCTTAACATACTGGTTTCGTTCCTTGGGACATGTCCTTAAAAAATGCAGCGACTGAAACAATTCAGTATACTCCAGATGAGGACTAACAAGGACACCCAGTGGAACTATCATCTCCTTTGTACTTTCTATACCATCCCATGCTGCTTTGTTCTAGCCATTGGTGACAACTCCCTTTATCTGAGAAGTCTTTTTGGTGGTAGTCCTCACCAAAGGGTCATTCCACAAACCTCGGACTTCCGACCAGAAGGTTCAAGCTCTTGAAACTCTTTGAATTACCCTTTCTCTCCATCCAAAAGGGCTTGACTGTTATATAAACTCTTCAAAATAGGAGCCGGGTCCATTGTTCCACCCAGTGCCAAATCCCCAGTCAATGCTAAGAATCCTCAGAATAATCTTTTGACATATCTTCTCCAAGCTTGCCATTATTTTCTCTAGCAAGTGCAGGAGGTTTTTATTGAGACATCCTCACCCTGAGGCAAGGCATTGTACTTTCAAAACATCTCTTGAATTCTGAATTTCCTTTCCTTTCCTAAGCTTTGTAGGCGCTTTGAGGTAAAGGGCCTAATGAGTCAGGAGACAGCTCTGCCTAGCTCACTTTTAGTGTGTGCCAAGAATCCTTACTTTTTGAATTCATTCTAAGTGTCCTAGGTTGCATGTTGGAAGGGTAACTCAGATCAGCTCAACTGTGGTTGGTATCCTTAGAAGTCAAATGCGGTCAATTAAATCTCTCCTGAGAGTTGGGTAGGACAGGAAAATGGAATTGAAAGATAAATCAGTGCACCTGTAACAGCCCAAAACAGACGCAGATGCTTTGAAGATAGTGCCTCCTATGAAAAATAGTAAAGCTATTGTTTATAAAGCACTTTGAGGTTTACAAAGATTAACTCACTTGACCCTCACAACAACCCTGGGAGATAGGTGCTGTCATTATCCCCATTTTTACAAATAAGGAAACTGATACCAACAGAGGACAAGTGAGTTGCCCAGAGTCACAGTTAGTAGGTTTCTGAGATAGGATTTGATCTCAGCTCTTCCCAATCCCAGCCCTCCATTCACTGCACTAGTTAGCTGCCCTAAGACTAGCTGTCTTACCAGAAGACACCCTGCCCATTTTTGATAAGTAGCAACAATAGAATTAAGCCGCCTTGTAGAGCCATGAAAAAATATATAATGTGCCAACCTGGGCTGGACTTGGATTGAGGACATTAAGCCTTCCTACTCTGTAGAGTTGGCAGGGGAAAAAAAGTTCTTATTCTTATTTCCTTAGAATTGCTGGCTGGCAAGAATGTCCATAAGCCCACTGTTAAACCTCAGAAGAATTAAAATGCTAGCCCACCAGAGAATGTGATTAGATTGTTCCAATCCAGGGTCTATAATCAACACCCCTACCTTAAGTCTCTAACATTCCTCAGCCAACAGGCCTGTTGGAAAGTTTGAGGTCAGATTCTGTAATAACACAGAAGCCAAGAAGTTACACTGGCAATACCCAGGGTGTGATATTAGTGCTCTTTGTCTATTATTTCATCTCCAGCCTCCATGACTTTGCATAGGGAGTTTTCCATGCCTGGAATGCACTTCCTCCTCACCTCAATCCTATAGAATTTGCTTCAAAATGCAAAAGGAGGCAACATCTCCTAAGGGAAGTTTTTTCCCTGACCTTCCCCCTTTTTAGCATTCTCTACCTCTAGAAATTAAATGAAAGCATATGTGGATATATTTTGCATTTATTTGTCTTCATAATAATAATAAAGTTTTATTGATTGATTAGTGACTAATATTTACATAGTGCTTTAAAGTTTATAAAGTGCTTTACACGTATTAACTCATTTATATTTGTACATGTTTCATTGGCTTCAGGGTAAGGGAAGAAGCATTTATTAACCAGTACTTCACAAATATGACCTCATTTGATCTTCATAACAATCCTGAGAGGTAGGTGCTTTTATGATCTCCATTTTACAGTTGAGAAAACTGAGGCAAACAGAGGTTAAATGACTTGCCCAGGGTCATACAGCTAGGAAGTATCTGAGGTAGAATTTGAATTCAGGTTTTCCTCACTCCAGGTCCAGGGCTCAGTGCTCTGTGCACCCCCTAGCTACCTGCAACATTCTTAGCTCTCCAGACTTATCCTCCTCATCACCAGCAACTTTGTCCCTATCTACCACTTTTCAGCTGTCTTTTGTATGTTATTTTCCCCAATTAGAATGTAAATTACTTAAGAATAGGGACTTGGGGGGGGGCTTGTATTTGTATTTCCAGAACTTAACATAATGACTGGCCAACAGTTAAGTGCTTAACAAATGTTCTTTCTATCTATCTATCTATCTATCTATCTATCTATCTATCTATCTATCTATCTATCTATCTATCTACCTATCTAGCTATCCATCCATCTAGCCATTTATCTATCCCTCTATAGTCATCCATCAATTTATCTATTTATCCATAAATTTATCCATCTACCCACCCATCTATCCATTTAGCTATGTTCTCATTCATCCATCTCTCTACACAACTATCTGATACATATTTCAACCTAAGAGGCAGCTTATTATAGTCTGTAAAGGGATAGCCCAGAGTTAGACAAACCTGGCCTCAAATTCTGCCTGACACATATTAGCCAATTTCCCATGGCCAAGTCCTTTAACCACTGAGTGTAGAACCCTTGGAAACTCTCTAGGATTATAAGTCATAAAGAAATTACCAATTTGCCTTAAGTTGAAGGATTTCCACCCCGCTGCACACTGATGAAATCATAGATAAGTAGTCTCCCTTGCCAAAAATAAATCAAACAGGGAACCATGAAGGAGAATCAGAGTAAAGGATGTCACCAAAGCAAACAAAGGTATGCTCGAACAAGTGTATGGACTGATCATCCTAACAGGGTGAGAGCAAGAGATACACAGTGGACAGCCTGTGTGCTCCACTAGCACTTTTGCAAAGTTAAAAGAAGCTAAGGCACGTTGGATTGACCCTGCCATGGACAATTCACAGGAAGTCATGACCAAGAGTCACACAGGACGAGCAGACATGGATGACTGGCTATTTGTCACTGGAAAGCACAGTGTGATCCATGAGCTCAGCCGTGTGAGTGTATGTTCCCCACAAGAACGCACGGCTCTTGGGGATTGGGTCTGTCTTGTTTTTGACTTTGTGTCCTCAGTGCCTGGCATAGTGCCTTAAACAGAGTATATGCTTAGTGACAAGGAGCACTGGAGCCAGCTCCTGGTTGTTAAATTCTCAGTGTGAGCACTTAGACCCCAGAAAGCAGCAGACACTAAGAATCAGGGCTCAATTTATTGTTTTGTTGACGGTCTAGACTTTAAAAAGTGGTAGAGAATTCGTTAAAAATTCAGATTAAACTTGAAAGTGTTTCCTTGTTGAATTTTTTTTTTTGGAACTCCCATAATTAAACATTTACCAGCATTTCCCCCGCAGTATGGAGACATGATATAATGGCTAAGGGTCCTGGGCTTGGGGTCAGAGGAGTATGAAGGCAGGACAGTGTGGTAGAAGGTGCATTGGTCCTGGGGTTCAGATACAACTGGGAATGCTTAGGACCTTAGGAAAATTGCATGACCTTCCTGGGCCTCAATATCATCTATAAGACAGCCCTTGAGGTCCCTTCAAACTGTAAATTATGATCTTAAGATCTCAGTTTGAATGCTGGCTCTACCTGCGTGACCCTGGCCGAGTCACTAACCTGTCTGGGGCAGGGTTTCCTCGTCATAATAGGACAGAGGCTGACTCTAAGGTCCCTTTTGGCTCTCAATGTGAACTTACTCATGAAATTTACACAGCAACCAAAAAGCTGTCCAAGAGATAGAAATAAAAGTTGTTCGCTATCAAAACAGACATTCTCATTCCCAATTCAAAGGAATAAAAAGCCAGCACAACCTTCTTTTGTCCTCTACGAAGGTGGAACCTTACCCTGGAAACTGGTAGCTTCTAGAATAAAGGCACTGTTTAGAAGAGAGGAGGGATTGCACAACCTTCAGCGCAAACCAGGAGTCCAAGACCCATCGTATATACAGAAAATGGGACCCGCTCCATGCCCTGTGGGCTGTGATGCAATCTGCAGAATGAAGTAAACACAAAGGAACAACCGTCAAGACACAACAGGACCGGCTCTACCGGAATCCGGAATCCGGGGAGAGAGGCCTGGCAAGCTTGAAACTCACCAGAATGCTCATCACAAAATCCAGCCCGCTGCTGCCAGGGAAAATCGGACCGCTGAAAGAGAAGGCAGAGGGGCCTCAAACAAGCAGGCTGTTTCTTTCTTTAAGGCACAGGAACGTACTACAGCTGTCCTAAAGAAGGCATGACGGAGGAC